GTTTTCCTGTTGTTAATCCTTCTGGCTCTAAGGTTCTTCACTCCTGCTATGCAGATGTTACTTGTCATGTCTGGAGACCTCAGCATGAGTTCTGTGAACCCCCATATGCCCTTTAAGTCAGACTATTGGAAACTTATTTTTAAAATCAGTTAAATTCTGCTTGGAGGTTTAGCTGTTCTGAATGCCATTCTGTCACGGTGAGGGCCTCCCTGGGACCACTGAAAGGGAATCTTGAATATGCCACAAGACTACACGTTAAGCCTGACCTTCCGAAACACTCTCCCTTATTAGCTGAAAATCTGTTTCACTATTTTCACATGATGTGTTAATAAATGTCACTATATTCAGAGACTACTCCAAGATTAAAGGTCGTGGGTCTCATAAATCACAAGAGTCCTCAAACACAGGAAAGTTCCTGCAAGATCGGAATGCTTCTCTTCTGGAGCCAGGTATTTATAGCCCAAAGTGTTGCCTTTTAGGAGCTTTTTAGGGGAAAACACCATGAGGGATTCACTTGGGGACTTGGTGCACGCACACACATGCACACAAAGTGAAATTAGAACCTACAGAGCTGTTCCTGTGCACTCTCAAGCGTCGGTTAGGTAACTGCTCTATTCTGCCATCTTTAGAACTCTGGTAGGAATGATACCCTGGGCAGGTAAGGGAGGACTCCACAAGTGAGGTTGCCCATAGCTCTCCAGACACTAGAATTCTTTGGAGTCTGCTGGGTGATGAGGGACTGATGATAGAATTCAAGGCAGGACCAACAACCAGCTTCAGGCAGAGTTTTCAAAACATCAGCCTTTGAGGTCCCATTTTGGATGCTACACATTTCCCATAATCCTCTTGGTTATCTCTAATTCTTGCAGTGGGCTGAGAAAGGGATAGCTGTTCCCAATTTAACATACTGCTGCATTCCTTTTTTGCTTTTTTCTTTAGAACAGCTTCACTTTCTAATATAATATTTTTTTGTCTATTTTTCACCCTCACTAGAATGTAAGCTCTGAGCAGATATCTTTGTATTTAATACACTGCTGCTTTCCTGCAACTGAGAATAAATGAGTCCAGAGAAGCTAAAGGACTTTTCCTTGTCAGCTTGCTAGTGACTACTAGTAACTACAGAGATAAGACTTTATTGAATGCAGTTCCACAGGCGATGCTGACAAACTTTAAATAAGTAATGGTAGCTGTGAGGATTAGAATCTAAGACTTTTTTTTTCTTTTAGATTTTATTTTTTGTATTTTTGTGTAGAAGAGCACAGAGTATGGGGGAGGAGGGATGGAGGATTCACCAGAGACAGAGCCGGGAGCAAACCAGGCAGATCTACTGAAATACACTGCTGAGGGGAGCCGTGGGGAGACAGGAGAGGTCTGCTGTGCCATGTGAGTCAGCTCCCTGGCTGGGGATAGAACTCATGCAGCAGCTACTGCTGGGTAGTGCTGAGACTTAACCCCTTGTACCACCAGGGAGGTCCAGAATCGAAGACATAGTGTAAGGAAGGAAGCTATCAGAGCATTTATTATCACTTATTGAATGGATGACTAAGAAAGAAGTTGCTTGCAAGCAAAAAAAAAAAAAAAAAAAAAAAAAACCCCAACACAACATACCGCACACACAGAGAAAACCACCCATCAGAAGTAAATGGAGCAAAACTTTTGATCCTTGACATCTGTGGGTGGGGACAGTGCCACAAAATACTTGACCCTGGTGGTTAAAATACAAAATGCAGACTTTAATCCTTCACGTTTCAGCAGGAACAGAGTGTGGAGTATGAGCTCCAGTACCCCCGAATGTGGTCACGCTTAAGGACCTGGAAAGGATTCCATTTCTGCCTCCCTCCCTCCCTGTTTGCTACTGTGTGACTCCAGGCAAATTCTTTATTCTCTGTCAATGGGGATGACTTACAGTGGTTTTCTGAAGACTGAGAGTTTACATGTAAACTCAGAAATCAAGACCATGCTTACCTTGCAGTAAAACCCCAATCCGTATTTCTATTATATCAGGTTGGTGTGGTTGGAAAAAAAGGTGTTTAAAATGGGATTAGTTAGGGCCCTCCCTGGTGGCACAGCGGGTTAAAGAACAGCACAGCACAGCACAGCACAGCACTTAGAAGCTTAAGCCACTTCCGCATGAGTTCGATTCCCACCTGCCCCGGAGGTGACCACATGTCGAGGCAGACCTCTCCTGACCTGCCTGCTGCTCCCCTCAGCAGTGTACTTCGTCGATCTGCCTGTTCTGCTCCTCTCTCTGTCTCCTCTCACCCTCCACATCTCTGGCCTGTCCCCCGTTCCATATGAATAAATAAATAAATCTTTAAAAAAAAAAGGGATTAGTTAGAAAGGTAGCTGGGTATATTCAATCTGTTGATCCTGCTCGAAAATTTTGATCTTGGAATGTAACAGCACCTGCTCTGCTCACTGGCTAAATTGGGATGGATTAAGCTGTTTTAGGGCAGTTCCACAGAGGGCTTTGCTGTAGATGAATGAGTTCCAGGCGGGTTGTTAAGCAGACCTCAAAGGATATAATTAGCAAGGAAAGGAAGGTCCTAAAGGACTTAAGCCATTTTACAGGTCGTGAATTCATCAGGATACTAATCAGTAACACAGCCAAACCATATTTGGTACGTCACCCATTTAATCATTACACCCAATCCTACCGAGGAGTTATTTTTATTATCTTATTTGTAACGAAGTGGAGGACAGCGGGTTAGGTGAGATTATTTAACCGAGGTCACATGGTTAGGAAAAAAGTAGGGAGACAACTGAACCAAGGAACCTCACTCCAGAGGCCTTTTAATACAGTAGCACTGCTTAGGACCCAGCAGTCCGAAGGCCACTTTATAAAATGTGCTGAGAAGGAAAGCACACCGTGTTGGGTCAGAAGCAATGGGTCAAACGAAAGGCGTCGAGCTTCAGCCTGTCAAGTGTTGCTATTTTTCTCCCAAATTTATGCCCAAACTCAGATAACTGCACTTTTAAAATAGGTGAAATAGAAACCCGTATTCCCACCCTCCTTGCACTTTTGTTGGGAGGTCCTGGGCTCATTTGTGCTGCAGGGAATCCAGCCTCTCTCCTTCTCGCACCTAGGTTCCACTAACTGGAAAGTCTGGGGTGGTGCTGGGGTGGCAGGGTTGGGGCGGGAGGTGAACGTCTGTAACAGGTGGGGGCGGGTCGGAGGCGTCAACTCTCAAGCAGGCGTCCTCGATCAGGCACTGGATGACATCCGACGAAACATAGGAGTTTTGTTCCAAGGGATGCCCAAAAAAGGCGCGGGGCGAGGAGTGCGGCAACCCCCATCTTGCTGAAACACGCTCCAGGGAGGGGAGGCTGCCTGCAGCAGAGCTCCAAAATTGGCAACCTGCGCTTCGCAGCGGTCCCTTTATAGCCTACATTCTCCAAACTAGGGGAAAAGCGGGCGAATAAGAATGCAAATAGAGCGGGGGCGTCCACAGGCTGGCCTATGGGTGCGGGGCGTCCGACTAGGGGAGACCCCGTGACCTCAGGTGACCTCCGCCGCGTCCTCGGTGGGCACAGAGCACGGGGGGAGGGGGCTCAGAAAAGCCGCCACCGCCGCCGCCGGGCGGCTGCCCCCGCTTCCGCTCCCAGGCGGCGGCGGGACAATGCGCAGCCTCTTTTCCGCCCGGGGTTAGGGAGGGGAGGCCGGATTAGGGCCCGCGCCTTCCGGCCGCAGACACCCCCGCCCCCACCGCGCGCCGCGCCGGCTGCACACAGGTGGTTTTCCGCTCGGGAGGGGCGGGCCGCGTACTTTTATATAACAATAGAGCTCTGCGCGCCGGGAACGCGCCTCCCCGCCGCCGGGGCCCCCGCCTGGCCACGCCCCCATCCGGCCCCATCCGGCCGGCCCACCTCCGCGGCGCCTGGGCCGTGGGTGGCTCACGCGTCTGGCCCGCACACCCCAAATACCTGCCGGCTCTGCAGCGCTGCAGACACGATCTCAGAAACTCCCAGCCCTTTTCGGGAGGTTCCGGCTGGCACTTCTTCTAGCCCCTCACCTGCTCCGGGCCGCTACGCGGTCGAATGCGCGCTCGGCCCCACGCCCTTCCCAGGGGTCCTCTAGTACCCCCAGTCTGAAAAAGCGAGGAGGTGGGGGTAGCGGGGTGCAGGCAAGGAGCGCAAAGCGCAGGCGCGGCCAGTGCTCTGCTGGTGTCTGGCTCCTCGCGGGATACTGGGCTGCGGCCCCGTTGGGAGGGGGCAACGGGGAGAGGAGCTGCCTCTGTGACTTCTTCCCTGTCTACAATGACCAATCCGTGGGCCTGCCTGCTGAACCCCCAAAGCCTACAGGCCTTGCGGGAACACTTCCCCACTTCTTGCCGAAGCTGGGGACAGCCGACCCACTCCGTGCGCCTTACTGCACCTCGCTCAGGGAACCGCGCCAGACCGGCTCCTCGGTCGGAAGCCGAGCTCACTGCCCAGAAATGATTAACGAGCCCGACCCCATCGCGCGCCGTGGATGACAGCGGGGGGGAGTAGTGGTGAGGGCCTGGGTCCCTGGAACAATGGCTTATAACGCCCCACGCCGCTGGAGAGCAGTAAGCACCCGACTGCCCAACGAGTGTTTCTGCAGTCGCCAGTTTAAAAACAAATTAATTAAAAAGCTATTTTTAAAAAAGAAGAAGCTTTCTTCCTATTATCTGGCCAACCACATGTTTGTTTGCTTGCTTTAAATGTTTCGACAAAACCCTGGTTTGTTTCGAAAGATGTTGGATTAGCATTTAACACCTCATCGGTCACTAAAGCCCAGGCAGTTCACCAGCCCCAACACAGCCACGGCTAAAAGAACAGCAGAACAAAAAGAGCCGGGCCTTTTAAACCAGCAAACAAATGCCACACACCGCCTAATGGAGGGCGGGAGTGGGCTACGGTGGGTTGGGGAGGGGGTCCAAGCGAATTCTGGCCCAAATTGGTCTAACGGGAGTATTAAGGGGAAAGCCAGCCCAAGTTTTCCTAAAGCTAGTTTGCGATCACAGGCGTCGCAAACGAGGGCTTTTGTGCCTGCTAATTGCACCGTTTGGACGCAAAAGTTCCGACTCGAAGTGTGAACTCGGAACAGAAGGAAACATGAGACAACTGAAGTGCCCTGGTTTATGTGCCCTGCTCCTCCTCCGCCGCCGCCTCCTCTTCTTTCTCCTTCCTCCCGCCGAGCCCGCTGTTGAAGCTTGTTTGCACTGGGGCTTATCCGGAGCGGAAATTCCTTTCCGTTTTTGTGAATGACAAACTCATTAACAATTCATCAACACAACCTGTTCCAGCCGGCCCGTCCCCACGGCAACAGCCCCTTCCGCAGTGCGCTCATTGGCTGGCGGGGAGAATGTATCCATTGAGACGCTCGCTGTTTGTATCCATTGAGGAGCTGCCTCGCACAGGGGGTGTGCGAGGGCTGAGTCCGAGAGAGTGTGCAAATCGAGGCTTGAATAATCCGTGGAGAAAGACTGCCGGGTGGATTTGAGGTGCAGCCTCGAAGGGAGGGATTAGAAGCCGCTCGACTTTTTTTTTCCTTCCCTTTCGGCGCGGAGTCCGTATTAATTGGATTTCATTCACTGGGGAGGAACAAAACTGTCTGAGCAGCTTCATTCAGAGAGATTCATTGACACCAACAGCGAGCGGCTGCAGCCGGGTGCAGAGGAACACGCCGGCTTCACCTCTTGTCTCAATCTCCAACCGCTAACCAGCGCTGGAAGGGTGAGGTGGAATTAAACCCCGCTCGGAGAGCGCTGCTTCTAGCAGTGCGCTCAGCCTATGCCTGCCCGGAGGGGCGTCTGGTAGGCAGCAAGCCCTCTCCCGCATTCGACCCCCATGATAGATACGCTCAGACCCGTGCCCTTCGCGTCGGAAATGGCGATCAGCAAAACGGTGGCGTGGCTCAACGAGCAGCTGGAGCTGGGCAACGAGCGGCTGTTGCTGATGGACTGCCGGCCTCAGGAACTGTACGAGTCGTCGCACATCGAGTCGGCCATCAACGTGGCCATACCTGGCATCATGTTGCGGCGCCTGCAGAAGGGCAACCTGCCCGTGCGCGCGCTCTTCACGCGCGGCGAGGACCGGGACCGCTTCACCCGGCGCTGCGGCACCGACACGGTGGTGCTCTACGACGAGAGTAGCAGCGATTGGAACGAAAACACGGGCGGCGAATCCGTGCTTGGGTTGCTGCTCAAGAAGCTCAAGGACGAGGGCTGCCGGGCGTTTTACCTGGAAGGTACACGCCGGGGGAGTGCGGCGCGCGGAACGGGGCGCAGGGCTGCGGGTTGCGGGGAGTTTCGGGAGGGCGCGCGAAATGGAAGTGCTTGGCTGGACCTCTGGAGCAGTTTCCGCTGTCTGTCCGCGGGCTCTGGGCTGCAAACCGCGCGCGTCCAAGACCCCAGAGCCCGGCGGGCGCGGAATCTACCCCTTTCCGGCTGCAGGCACGGGTCATTTCTTAGTAACAAATTCTCTTTACCTAAAATACCTTCATTTCCCTGTATTTTTACGTTTACCTTTGAATTGACATCTACAGGACAGGAAGGGAGGTTGCTGAGGGTGGAGGCTGGCATATCTTAGCCCTTGAAAATATCCAGAAAAGTTGCCATCTTGTGCATTTGAGGGGCCAAAAAAAATACGGGTCCCCGGGGGAGGTGAGCCGGGTCGTTTCACTCCCCAAATCACCCATTCAAGCAAGCAGCGTCCTCTTATATTTGACTTTGTATGGGGGTTCGTAAGGACATGTGGGGTTTCCTGAGCGGGACTGTGGCCCTCACAAGCTGTGAAAACCACTACAGGATCTCTGGTTACACGATTGCTTTCTTCGTTCTGGCAGGTGGCTTCAGTAAGTTCCAAGCTGAGTTCGCCCTGCACTGCGAAACCAACCTAGACGGCTCGTGTAGCAGCAGCTCACCACCGTTGCCAGTGCTGGGACTCGGGGGCCTGCGTATCAGCTCTGACTCCTCTTCGGACATTGAGTCTGACCTTGACCGAGACCCCAACAGTGCGACCGACTCGGATGGCAGCCCGCTGTCCAATAGCCAACCTTCTTTCCCCGTGGAGATCATGCCTTTCCTCTACTTGGGCTGTGCCAAGGACTCCACCAACCTGGACGTGTTGGAGGAGTTTGGCATCAAGTACATCTTGAACGTCACCCCCAATTTGCCGAATCTCTTTGAGAATGCAGGAGAGTTTAAATACAAGCAAATCCCCATCTCGGATCACTGGAGCCAAAACCTGTCCCAGTTTTTCCCCGAGGCCATTTCTTTCATAGGTGAGACTAATTAAACAGTCAGTTCTCTGACTTGTAAGTGCAAAAGTCTAGCCATTCCTAGAATTTAAGATGTTAATCATTACTGTCGCTCGGTAATTTGTCAGACCGAAGGTTCTCTGTTCTGAAAGAGTTGTAAATTCTGCTTATTCTTTTTGCAACGTAAAGAAATAGTGCCTTTTGACAAGCTGTAGAGTAAGTGCATTTGAAATGCCTTGTTTCTTCAGTCTCCGTCTTCAGTAATTTGAAGAGGCAAGGGGGTAGTAGTTTAAACCAGACAACAGAATTTTCCCACAATCTTTGGACTCTTGGGAGGCACTAGATAGAAATACTGCAGACAGGAATTCTAGCATCGCTTTACAATTTTAAAAGATCTGGGAGTTATTTTAGGACATCAAGTTAGTTGTTGGAAAGCCATTTGAAGGCTGAATGTTGTAATCGGGTTGAGTGTTACTGTGATACTCTTTAACTGGGAGACAGCTAGGGTAACCTGAACCCCGCAGGAAGGGCTGTGGGCTGGAAGGCTGGGAGAAGCGAATCTCCAGGCATTGTAATGCATTTCCTATTACAAAGGAACTCATTTTCAGGCCATGTCGACATCCTGTTCCTTCTAATGGGCTGTCCCCTGTGACTTCCCTCTCTCTTGTAAAATGCCTGAATACCTCCATTGTTAGCAGCACAACAGTTAGAGAATAATTTAATGGACCCTTGCAGTCTGCTTGTCTGTATAAAAGGCATTCACGACCATATTGCAGTTTCTGGTATTCACATGCTGAGGCAAAGAATGCACACATTAAGGAGTTTTTTGCTGGCAGAAACTTAATACAAAAGCTCTCTTTTCAGAAAATATCTGAAATATGTAATTGTGCCCAGTGTACATGTTTTATTGCAGTGATACATTTTCTGTTGCCTGCCAGTCCCAACTGCCACACAGGATTTTTTTTTTTATCTTTTCTGTCTTTTTTAGATCGATCATTCATTCACAAAGGGTGTTTTTCAGTCTTGACATCTTGCCTCCTTTTTGTGTTTACAGATGAAGCCCGAGGCAAAAACTGTGGCGTCTTGGTGCATTGCCTGGCCGGCATCAGTCGCTCGGTCACTGTGACTGTGGCTTATCTTATGCAGAAGCTTAACCTGTCCATGAATGATGCATATGACATTGTCAAGATGAAGAAATCCAACATCTCCCCCAACTTCAACTTCATGGGCCAGCTGCTGGACTTCGAGAGGACGCTGGGACTCAGCAGCCCCTGTGACAACCGGGTCCCCGCACAGCAGCTCTATTTCACCACTCCCTCCAACCAGAACGTCTACCAGGTGGACTCCCTGCAATCCACGTGAAAGGCTGCAGGCCCACCTCACTAGGATGTGTTCCTGCCTTTAGCAGTTTCTCTTGGCAACATCAGCTGGGCTGCTTTCTTTGTATGTGGCCCCTGGTGTCAAAATGACACCAGCTGTCTGTATTAGACAAGGTTACCAAGTGTGGAATTGGCTGTTACAAAGGGAGAGATTTGCTCCATTCTCATGGAAAGAACAGGACATGCTGTATAGACACAGACAGCGGGTTTGCTCTGCACCCAGGGTACAGCCTACCCAAGTAGGGACTGGAATTTGAGGACTTGCAGCCTCTGTAGGGTAGGACCAAGTGGGTAGGGTGGGGTGTGTGTTCCTTTGGGCCTTGTATGACTGTTTCTTTTGCATCTGGAACTGACTTATCTACATTGTCTTCAGTGAAGACTGATTCAATTTTGCATATAGAGGAGCCAAAGAGAGGTTTCAGCTCTGTATTTGTGGTAATCAGTTTGCAAAAAAAAAAAAAAATTAATAAGACACGTGATACTTCCTTTGATTAATGTAAATATTTGATCTTAAATCACTTGACAGTGTTTGTTTGAATTGTATTTGTTTTTCCTTTGATGGGTTTAAAAGAAAGCATCCAAAGGGAGAAAGAGCAATATGCCACTTCTTAAACTGAAAAAAGAAACATTTGCTCTTTTCTAATCCAAAGGATATATTTGTAGCATGCTCAATTTTACCAATTCTGACGTTTTCATGGGCACTTATTTGCTGAGACCTTGTTATGGTGCAGTCTTCAGTCTCTTTCATCTTTCTTTGTGACTCCCCCCCCCCCTTTATGTAGTTTAACTATGCCTTACCTTTGTAAATATTTTGGCTTGTATTGTCTGAAAGGGGATATCTTAGACACCAAAATCATGGGTTCACTTTTTTTTTTTAACTTCAGCTGTGCTAAACAGTATATTACCTCTGTACAAATTCTTCAGGGAGTGTCACCTCAAATGCAATATTTTGGGTTAGTTTCTTTCCTTTTTAAAAACAATTTGTATAAAACTGGAAGCGTGTGTGTGAGCATGGTGCCCGTTTGCTAGGTGAAGTGCATCTGATTGTGAAGAGGGGAGAGTAAAGTTGCTCCATTACGTCCCTGGTGTAAAGTTTGAGCTGAAATTTACTGTAAGGATGTAAAACCTTAAATTATTAATAAATAACTATTTTGGCTATGGAAGGTGTATATATATATTTTTTCATTGTACTTACAGGTTAAACCATTCATTTAGCATTTTGCAGTTGGGGACAGATTCTGGCTTGTAGAGTACATGTATGATAAACAGGCAAAGTTGTCACCTTTGAAGCTATTCTAAGAATGTTTCTACAAGTGCTACAGAACAAATTATCAAGAGTTGGAAAGCCCTTCCTATAGGAATATATAGTTCTGGCTTTTTAAAGAAAATTTTAATGCTCTGGAAGAAAAATGAAACCACACAGAACAGCTTACTCAGATATACAAGACTTGACTATTCATGACCAGTCACAAAAGGGGTACCAGAGGAGCAAGGTGATCAGCAGTGTTAACCTCTTTTTCTCTTTCCCTACTACGATCTGTCTGTCTGGCCAGGGAGGAAGTCGGGGCAATTCTCTAAGACTGTTGTATCTATCTGGTAATTGTACCTGCCAGTTAACCTGGAGTTGGGAGAGCAAAGGGATCAGGAATGGGGTTCCCTTTTCACGTAGGTATATGGGAAGCTTTTTTTTTTTTTTTTTTTAATGCTTTCTCACTGAGCTTGAAGATGGTTTTCCAGTTTTACATTAGTGCTTGACGCAGTGCTTTGCCACACCTCTTCTAATTCACCTGGAGCTTACCGCTTTTAGAGTGTGGGTCAATAGCCCGTATTCAACTTAATGTTGAGGTTATTTTAAACAGTTTTGCAAAGGCTTTCTGGCCTATCCTTTTGCTTGGATTTCCTCTCTTTACCCTGAATTTGAAGTTTTGAAGTTATATAAACCAAAATCACAGAGCAGGTGTATGGAGTCAAAAGAATTTAAAACCTACGTATATTGGATCCTTTTTGAATCATCTTAGTGTCTGTATTTGCAGTGAAAGGAAAGCTTTCCCCTCACTGGGCACTAGTGAGATAATCATTTGGATTGTTTTGTAACCTATTTCAGGAGGAAGTGGGCCTGATTGTATGGCAATCCTAACTGCTCAGAGTGGCTTTCAGCAATTAAGTATATATATAAAAGACCAACAGCAACAGTGCTGAAAGGTACCACACTTGTCTCTCCCATTTGGGTGCCCCAAATTAGCCTGAGCTCAGAAAGGAGAAGTGGGTTGCAGTTCAACTTGGCTCCAGTTAATCCGGTTCTGAACGTTTCCGCTCCTGGCATCCCTAAATTGCCTGTTCAAAGTGGGGATTTGCAAGTAGCGTTTGCAGTTTCCTGTCCAGCTGCAGCCCAAGTAGCTGCGTGCTTCCCAAGCCCCCCCCCCATACTTCTTTTCTCTGATTTCTTTTCTCTTTCTCCTTTCTTTTTTTCTTTAATCTGGTCTGTGGATAATTTTAGTGCATTTCCTCTGGGTGGATTATCATCTCTCCTCCAGAACCTGCTGCATACATTGAGTTCCTCCTGCTCTGCTGGAGGCGACAGCTGGCCTCCCCTGCACTTCCTCTCACTCACTGTGGGCTTGTTTGTCAGTCCACTTCTGAAATTAATAATGTTTTCTGGCCAAGTGCCAAAAGCCATTGCCACAAAGGGGAAGTAACACATATGAATAGCAGGAAGCCATGCAGGGTCACAGTGTGAGCTGAACCTGTGGAGGGAGCGTAATTGAGCCTTGAGCCTGGTCATTCAGCAAGTGTCTGACTGCGCTTTGGGGAGAGGGAGCTCCCTGCATTTAAGCAGCTCAAGCTGTGGAAAAAGAATTTCCAATAAATTGGTAGCAAATGGCTTTTGTCATCAGTCTGAATAAAGGAGAGGGAGCAAGGAGAGTTTAGGGACCCCATAAAGTAGCAATGTTGGGGATGTGTCTCCCCACTCTTTTGTTTCCACAGGGCTGTTACACCAAGAGGGCCTGCTTCCCCATTATGCCGCAAAAGGACTCACATGACATGGGTAGTTTTTTTTTTTTTTTTTAAGATTTATTTATTCGTACAGAACTGGGGTACAGGGCAGAGATGGGGGGGTGAGAGGCTTCACCAGAGACACAGTGGGGAGCAGAACAAGCAGATCCACGAAGTACACTGCTGAGGGGAGCAGCGGGCAGGTCAGGAGAGGTCTGCCGCCCCATGTGGTCACCTCCCCGGCAGGCGGGGATCGAACTCATGTGGAAGTGGCTTAGGCTTCTTAGTGCTGTGCTTTAACCCGCTGCACCACCATGGACGGCCCGACATGGGTAGTTTTTATGGCTCACACAGGCCAGAAGATTCAAGGAGCTATTCTCTTTCTTTTTCTTTGGAAGGTAGAAGGTTGTGACTGACAGCATGAGTTCCCAGCTGGCCTGTGCCTCCCTTTTTCCTGGCCATACAGGCTTCCTGTGCTTGCCTCTGCACGTGTTAGAGCCCTGCTTGAAGGCAATCTTTTTTTTGGTGTCTTGGAGTTGGGCTCACTTCCTGAGGGGAACTCGCATGGTTACACGTGGTTGCTAGGGCAACCTTGCCCGCAGCTGCAGCCCCGGCCTCCCTCTTCACCTGCCTTCCTAACCAATCTTCCACCAGTCTCCGAGAAAGTGCTGCCTCTTGGCCTTCTGCAGGGGTCTGCTGGGACCTTAGGAGAGGAGGTGATCTGTAGGTTTTGTGAGGGCTGCGGGAAGCTTGGAGAATCACTGGGGCTTGGTATAAACTGCTCTATGGGTTAAAATCAGACTGAGAAAGTTATCTGGGGAGAGAAATACCAGCACAGCCTTTAAAGGGATGAAAGTGGAGACCTGCCTTGGCCTACCAACTAGAATAGATGAATTTTAACCCATGTTCTCTCTGAGTCCCACAGGCGTGGACAGCTACCTAAACTTGTCTTTAAAATAAGAAAGTCTTCACCTGGTTTATATTCCAACCTTCTGGTCATGATTAAAGAGTAAAATGCAGTGCAGAGCAGAGAAACAAATGACATTTATTAGGGGTGTCAAATACTGTCCTTTATGTATAGTATTCTCATTTAATCTTCCAAATCTTCCTAGCTCTGTGAGATATTCCTTTTATTATCCTTATTTTTGAAGGAGGAAACTGAGGCAGGGAGAAGCTGAAAATTATTTAGTGAAAAGTGGTGGACCTGCACTTTGACACTCTAACTCATGTAAACGGATTGCCTTGAGGATTTGCTTGCCTTTCTAAAGTCTCATGTTGTGGGTTAGGAAATGGTGACCCCATTTCACAGCTGAGCAAGTGGAGGAAACAGAGGTTAGGTGACCCACCAGACCAAATCCGAATTCGACAACCAAATCGTGGGAGGACCAGTTAATGTGTCCCACTGAGAACGGAAGCTCATCTTCTCCCCCTCTAAGTTGCCCTATCTTGGGTCACTTAGCACACAAATTACAAAGCTATTTTCCTATGGATCCCTGAAGTGACTAGCATCTGTCCAGATGGCCTGAGTCTGGCCCATACCCTCCTTTCGAAATTGCACATGTGAATTGGCTCCCAGGAAATCCACTTTCTCATTCTGACCCCCCTCCCCCCTCCCTAAAGCACACACACACAGTTTGGGGGGAGGAGATGTCTGCAAAATAAGAGCACACATAGAGATAGGAAATGCAGACAACAAAAGCAGATCTTGATCTTGTGGTAGCTGGCTGGAAGTAAATACCCTTGAAAGGTCCTCACAAAAAGCCATCATCAGATCTTAAACTCCTTCCAAAGAATTAGTCTAGGTATCCATTGTCATGCACTTCCACACTCAGTCATCACCTTCCAAAAGACCTTGTGTACTTTGAAGTCCCCTCACTCCCCTTTTTAGCAACTGGCCCTGAATCAGTTCACTCACTTGTGATGGGATGTTCAAACTTCTTTAAAGTCCAAAATTGATTTCCTAACAGTATTTAAGGGCACAGAACAAAGTTCAAACAAATCACAAATATTTATCCAGACCTTGATGTGAGCTGCACTGACTTGATGAAGCAAGGTTAAAATGAAAGGCATCTGAAGACTTAATGAGCTCTCAAAGTCTTAAAGGCAACAGTGTGCTTCTAAATCTCATCAGTGAATCTTTTTGCTAGTTTCCCATATTAAAGTGGAACCCCCTAGGGGCTACTGGGAATGTCCTTATATGCTTCAAGTATAACTGACATTTCCAACCTTTTCCTTTTGATATAGGAAAGAGTCTATATAGAGAGAGATAGAGTGATGATAGATAGATGGTAGATAGAGATAGAGATGACTATGCAATTTTTTAAGATTTATTTTTTATTTTTTATGCATATAAGAACTAGGGTGGAGGCCAGAGGTGAAGGGGGGTCAGGGTGGTGGTGAAAGGATTCACCAAAGACAGTAGGGAGCAGAATAGGTGGATCCACTAAAAATACACTGCTGAGGGGAGCAGCAGGCAAGACAGGAGAGGTCAGCTGTGCTGTGTGGTCAATTCCTTGGTGGGCATCAGACTCAGTTCCTTGGTGGGCAGTGACTGGTGATAGCTTGATAGAGCTGAGACTTTAACCCCTGTGCCACCAAGGAGGCCCTCTATACACAATTCATCTCACCTACTTCTCTACAAGAAAATACCTATAGAGACATGCCTACATGCATTGCCTTTAATGATGAAAAGTTTTGGACATTCATACCTCCAAAAAATGAACTCTCAGATTTTTTTTGAGAAGAAATATCATATATTATTTGATTACAACATCCCATAAAAAACACCTCCAAAAAATGAACTCTCAGACTTTCTTGAGAAGAAATGTCATATATTGTTTGATTACAACATCCCATAAAAAACACCAAGCAAGTCTGATAAAAGATGTTCCTTCCAAGCTAGATTCTCCCCTCCCCTGCTTTTGGGGGGAAAAATCTATTTATTACATTAAGTGTTTTTTATTAAGTTCAGTTTAATTCCTACAGCAAATATTAACAGAAGGAGGAAAGAAAGAGGGCAGGGATCCTTGGGAGTTCTGGGGTCCTGATCCAGTGCAGTCAAAAATCCCACAACTTTTGACTACCCTCAAGCCTAACTAATAGCTTATTGTTGACCAGAAGTCTTACTGATAACACAAATAGTTGAGTAACATTTTTAAGTTATGT